TATTTCTTCAAACAGCTGACAGCCTGCGGAGGAAACTCTTAATGGAAACCCAGCTCCTGCATTGTTATGCATGGCCCACATGTAGATTCGGGGGGTGGATTAAGTTAGCTTCCAAAGGGTCTATTGTGTGTAGCATTAATTTGCAGGGCTCTTGATATTTAAGTTGGAAGGTTTATAACCTCAGTGTTTACTTAGATGAACTACATCCTATGTTTGTTTATTTCCGTCTGCAGTCTCTTATTTCCTAGTAAATGTTACATTTATATTTGTTAACAGCAAGAATGTTGTTATAAATCTGAAAGAAATAATTACATGTGCTTACAATCATTCACGCTAAAGCCTTGATCCTGGCTCTACAGGGTCACCCTTCCTGTGAGATCTATAGAAGATTATATAGATAATTTTATTTCTCAAGAATATTTATGCCATCCAGTTACACATGTTTAATCATAGCCTATTTCAAGTGTTAACTTTCTGTGAAATATGTAGCCCCTGTTTCTTTCACATAGCAATGTTATAAACACGTGCCCCCTCTAAACCTGTGCCTTCCGCTTCCAGATGAACAAACTATAGAACTGAGCATCGCTTTCTTTTATTACTGTTTGAATGGTTATTTACAAAGGGTCAGTCGCAATTTTTTAATTGTGAATTAAAAAAAAAAGTTTCCAAATTGTTATCTGCAAACAACTCTGTGTGGTGTTGTAGATACAGGAACTGCTAAAAAAACTCATCATCTGAGATTAACTACAAATTTTCATTCAGAAACTTTTCCAGCACCACCCCTAACCCTATTCTCTCCTTTTCCTCCTTGGATTGTATAGGCAGTTGCTAACATGAATTTAAAATTCAATATGAATGGCTGGCGGTGGGAGGGTGGTGGTGGGGGGACGTGCCCATTGGAACCAACTCTGATCTTAATCTGGATTTAAGGACTCAATTGAATAGAAGTACATTATGCTTGAACAACTGAAATTTCTATTATTTTGAAGCCTTTTTAAATAGAAAACAACACAAACAGCATGTTGAATATTTTATTTAACATTTTCTGCTTTTGGTTAGTATTTTTGAATGTCTTACAGATAATTTTAAATGTAGCTATTCATGGATTTATCCATGTTAGCATTTCTATGTAATAGGTTTTGTGATATAGTGGTGAGGATAGAGATTATAGGTCTGTATCCTCAATACTTAATACAATGCCTGGCATATGAAAGGTACTCAATAAATATTTGCTTAATCAATTAATTAAATTCTATCTTTAGATGGATTGCTTTTCAGGATATATAGGAACAGCCTGGAGAAATGCGAGATGAAAACAAAACAACAAACAATCCAATGATAATAATATCCATCTTTTCAATTACTTGTCAGGCTGTGAGTAATCAGATCTTGAAAGTTCATTTCAAGGTTTCACTACTGTGAGCCAGTATGTTTCCAATTGGATGTGTCAGAGTTTTCCTAACAGCAGTTTTTCAAATCAACAGTTTTACTTTGAAATAAAATTTAAAAGAGTGAATAGTAGGTGAAAAAATAGTGATAGTTATAGTCAACTGTAATAAACATACAACACTTGCAATTACACAAAGTTTGGGAAATCTGGTTATTAGGAGTAGAGGTGGTCCAGGTATACCAGCTTTACTGGAAGTTCCGTAAGAAAGAAATCATATATTTAGACAAGAATCATAAAACTGTATTGCTTAGAGACATTATAACTCAAACTGTCCCTCTAATTTTTACAGATGAAAAAGTAAAGCATATATATAGATATATATGTATGCTGTATAAACACACACACACACAGAGAGAGAGAGAGAGAGAGAGAGAAAGAAAGAGAGAGAGAGAGAGAGAGAGAGAGAAGGAACAGCTCCTACCCATTGTAGCTTAATTTAGAGGCAGTCCCTATCTTACAGTAGACATGTAATACATGAATAAAGGCATATATGTATGTACAGGTGCATGAATGAAGCAGACATTTAATGAATTTATGGTTTACATTGGGCAAATACAATATATCAGGTTCAATTCAGCTAGTTGTAACAGTAATTTATTGAACATCTTCTGTGTGGCATAGTGTAGGCATTGAGCTTATTCCTAGAAACTTTCTGCTACATGTGTTGAAGAGCTAACTCATGTACATTTCACTTGGTACAGATTTTATGGTGATCTTAAAATTACTCTAAGAGTTGCATATAATAGACATTATAGTGTGGTGAGAACAACCAAAACAGGAAAATACTGGAAACTTAAATGCTACTCATAAGGTGCATAAAAAACTTTATGGCTCAGTACATTATGACAAAAGAAGAAAAGAAAGGGAAATTCATTTTTAGTTATTGCATAGATGATAATAGTGACAATGATGACCATTGTCTTTTATACCTTATTGAGTAAATGCCATTCTGTCTTGGATGCTTTATATTTATTAGCTGGTTAAATTTTCCCCAAACCCTTTGAAGTGGGCATTACCTCCATTTAATCAAAGAAAGATTAGAAGAACATTTCTCATTAGAAGAATTAGGTAACTTGCCCACATCACAAAGGTAGCAAATGATAAGAGCTAAAATTTGAAATGAAGATTTCCTTACTCAGTTTCTCCTCTTAGTCACTGCATTACTGTTATCCTATCCTTGTGGTCAAAGCTCTCTAGCTATTTTAGACCTGCTAGTTGCTAACTTTGTTCTTCTGTAATTCCTTAGGAGACTGCTGGGTATAAGCATTAATTGCAGCTTAATACAAGAGCAACTTTCAGGACTGCAATCCATCAAAGAGAATTTTGTTAAGCTCTTTTTTGAAAGTCTAGAAATATAACTTCCTTCACAGAAATAGCTGCAGTAATTTTAGAGACTTCTAATAGAATATCAAATATATGTCTACTTTTCAAAAGTAAATATGTCTGTGTATGTGTATGTATGTTATACACACATATATGTTATCATTGCAATAACAGGACGAAAATAGTAATGATTTAAGAGTGGGCTTACAGAACTTGCAAAGTTTCCTGTTTAGAGAATGACACCTGCATGTCATCATCATAGCAAGAAGTATGAGAGTTTCTAAATCTGAACAAGGAACGTAAGGGAATACGTAATTTTCTTATTTTCCCAAAAGGCAAATTTAATACAGTGAGGGAAGGATGAGGAAAAGCAGCTGCAAGCAGAGTGGGATTAGACGTCTGATCCACTACTTTGACAACTGTAAAAACATAGTTGATTACTGATGTCATTACTGGAAAGGCTGATATAGTGTTGTGAGATTATTTGCAGACAACACAGGCTATTTATTATTCTAGTGTTGTCTTTTCTTTTTTATAATACTAGTAGAAACTTATTATTACAATTTGTGTACATTTACAGCCATATATTAGTAGATTGGTATGATACAAAGGAAAATTGGACCTACTCTGAGTCTCAAAAATTTTGTTGAAGATAATAACTTAAGTTTAAAGGTTTCTTTCATCATGAATAAAATTAAAGTTGGTAAATGTTATCAAAAGGAAGATATAAGGAGTATTTGATATTGAATCATTTCAGATACAAATGCATACTAAGACTGAGAGTATATATCTGTTAAATTTAACAAGTGAATATATTTTTCCCCAATGCATAACAAAATTTCAAAACCTAATTCTGATTTTGAGCCTCAATGTGGTTTAGTTGAAAGAGGGGGTGATTTGGTGTCAGATAGCTCTGTGGACAAATCATTGCTATCAAAGTTATTGTGTGGTCTCCAGACAGTTCTTTAATCATTGGGCCTTTGTCTCCTCCTGTGTCAAATGAGAATGAGAATGTCTACCTTTCAGGTTTGTACTAAGAGTTCAAGAGAACAGATATGAGGCATTGAACATAGTGCTTAGACTAAGTGTTGAATAAATGGTGGTCATGTTTTAGTAATGAAAAGATGCCTAGTAAATCAAGACATAAGGGGAAGAATTAAAAGAGAAGGTTATTAGGAATGAAAAAGGCAATTCAATAGATGAAAAGATAATTTTAAATGTCCAGAACTGGAAAAAAGAATAAACAAGTCAAAAAAAATTTTAAAGATAAGGATATTCACTTTTGGAATTGTGTTTTCACTAACAAACACAATGCCCTAGCAAAAAAGAAAAAAAAAGTAGTAATATAAAACTATAAGGGAAATGAAACAAAAACGAGAAAATTAGATTAAATATGGAACTTTTGTCAAAGAGCAGTTGAACAATGCAAAGAGAACAATATGATAAAACAAAAACCATGGGAAGTCTTGAGAAGAAGACAAAAGGAAAACAAAGAAACATGGGAAAGACAGAAAAAAAGCAAACACAAGCAGAGACTAAAGGATACATGTAAATGTTCAAGCCAGTAGAATGAACACAACTCTGCTTTTAATTTTCACAGCAAAAAGATATCTGAATCAAGAAAGGGCATACACAATATTAGAAAACAATGATTTCTAAAATTCTCAAAATTAAACAGAATGCTTTGTTTAAGCATGATGTACGTGTTTGTGTTTTCAAATGTAAAAATTTTGGAGCTTTTGACATGAAAAAAATCACTTGATTTCATGATTAATTTTCCCCTTTTGGTTCTAGAAATGAAAAACTTGATTATTTACTGAACTCTCCTATCAGAGAAATAAAATTTTCAAATTACAGTTATATCAACACAGTAGAGATCTTATCTACTAAAAACACCCTTAAGCATTATTTTGCTGACAACAAAAAACATATTTCCAGTCACATATCAAGCCACCTACAGATTCTTCAAGGATCAATTTCTTCCTTTCTATAGCAAAGTAACATGTACATGTCTACTACAAATCTTAAGGCAAATAGTCCTGTTCCTAGTCACTTGTCATTGCAATGAAACATCTGCTGCTCACTATTTTTCATTATTTTTTTCCTTATTACGCCAATTCAAAAACATCATCCTACCACCTCTTTTAGTTGTTACATATCCCTGTGCTTGTGGCTACATTTCTTTGCACTGGAGAAATGATCTCATTAACAAACTAGTTCTGTGCGTCCTTAACACAGAGGCCCCTTGCCTGCAGCTGGAGGCAGCTCTCTGTTCAGCCCCAGTGCAGAGTGACACAGACAGGCGACAGCGTCGCTGAGCACTAACTTCTATTCCACCGAGGCAGACAGCGAAAACCATTTCAGAATCATGGCAAGGCATGAGAGAAGCACAGGTAATCCTGTTTCTGTATTCAGTTTTTGCAAGAATCAAATATATCCAACTGAAAGAGACAACTGGGAGAGAAAAGGAGTTGGGGTGGGGGAGGTTCTGTGTCAGAACTGCTAAGCCAGGAAATAAAGTCACAAATTAGGAAATAGAGTGTAAACACAAAAAGAAAAAAGCCTCTGATATGTATGTATATGTATACACACACACACATATATATGCACATACATATTTTTGCACGTATATTTATAGGATACATATATAAAAAGGGGATGTGTTGGTGAAGGTTTTGTTACTTAAGAAGTAAACTGCAGGCTAATATCTAGAAGTGGGAGTTTTTGTCCTGAAATCTCCAAGTTGGAAAGGACTTCAGAAAAAATTTAGTCTGTCATGAATGACCACATCTAATACTTTTATTTTTTAAAGGGTAGCTGCAAAGTTTTGGACAAGAGCTCACAACAACTGGAAGCACAGTGTACCCAAGTGGTGGGTCTCGTCTGTGGCAATATATTTTTTTGCCTGTCCAATTGAATATGGCTGTAAAGGGAATAAAACCCCATGTAATCTCCAGCAGTGACAATTTAATCAGTTTTGTAAGGGGAAAACAGCAGAGTCCCCTCATTTTCATATTTGCATATTTGATTTTTGCATTGGGGAATAGAGGTTTTGTTTTTCTATTACTTTGCATTCAATTTTAATATTTAATCTTTTATGAGCAAATTTTTACAGTGGTGTGAAATACTGAGTCAGACAGGTCTAAAACAGAAAGGAAATACTCCATTTCTGAAATTAAGCCCCTGATGCAATATGCTTTGTGTAACATTTTCCCCTGTAAAGAATCTATGTGCCTAACATGGCTTGCATGCTCCTAGCTTTTGCACGTGATACATCTGCTATTAACATTCAGAGATCCACCCTGAAAATGAGGGCAACTGTTTGGAAAACAATGCAATATGATGAGAATAGACTATAATATGACGCCCTTTTTATATTAATATTTCTTAAAATGGTAAATCTTATCGATTGCATCTATGTCTAAGGAAGTGGGGTTTCTTAAATGCTTTATATACACAGAAGCCAGTTTTTATGAGTTATAGAGGAGAAGTAAATACAGTAAGATTAATACAACTTCATTGTTTTTACAATTGACAGAATGATATTATTGCCTATAGGATAATAACAGCTTATGGGATTGATTTTAAGATGAATAAGATGCAAGTAATTTGAACTCATCATCAACAACCCTTGTGTTACTCCCATGAGTATATTAAAATATCTAGTCAAAATGGTGTTGAATTTGAATTACTGGAACATAGATGCTGTTTTTACGCATCAATGCATGCTAGCCCCCACTTGTGAAAACCCCAAAAGTATGTTGGATAATTTTTTAAAAAAAGGATAGTATTCTACTTGCTTAATGATTTAGAATTTCTTTATAAAAAGTGAACTCAGAAGCCAACATTTCCCTGGAAAGGAAAGTAAGAATGATTTTAATTCTGTGTATTTTTTTTAAGTTTAACCACAAGTTGTGAAATGTTTTATGTACTAAATTTAATCTATGTACATATTTACACACATATGTATATACATGTGTATATGTGTGCCTACATGTGTGTGTGATGTATGTGTATATATGTTATATATATCTACATAAATACATATAAATGTGGCCTAAATGTTGTTAACCAAATTTTATGAGATATAACTAAATTTGGAATTTTAAAAGTATGAGCCATAGGATTTTATTCAAAAACAGAGCAGATAGTCTTTTTAATGTACATCTATGAAACACATACCAGTAGCAGTATACAGGCATCATTAGATGACAGGTATAAAATCCTTTGGGCAAGCACTGATTCACATTAAATTCAAGCACATAATATGTCAAGTTTTGAGTATGTTCTTATTTATTTAAATCTGCATTCTGATGATCATCTTTTCAAAGAGGTTGCATATATATGAATATGTGATCTAGTGTTTACATATTCAAATTAACCTGTTTCTTTGAATATGGTCTAATGATTGAATGATCTCCTAAACAGCAACTCCTCAGGGAAATATGCTGATGCCTCAGCACATTTTCTCAAGGCCTGGAGAGTACTAGATATGCCAAGGAGTGCCTTGAAGCGGGGAAGCCCTGCTCTGCCTATAGGAAAGTCCTAGGCTTTAATCACAAAGGCTAGGTTTACACTAATGCAATTAACCATATGATTGCTTTAGAAGGAGCCTAACCTCATCAGTATCTTTCCTTTAGGCAAACTGATAATGCTAGATCTAGTCAATGACTCAAGAGAATTTGATTACCTAAGAGGTACAAGGCCCTGAATAAGCAGTCACAATGCACAGTAGGCATATTCATCTCCAACCTATTTTCTAGGAGTTATCATTTTAGAATTAACACTTTAAATTTAAGCAATTAAGGTAAAGTAATTGTTCCATGAAATAATTAAGAATTGACAAGTATCAGGTTTGGTGAAGACTAAATACAAATGATAATGATCTGTTTTATAGTTTGTTTATTTATTTGTTTATTTATTTGGCTGTGTGTTTGTTTTGTTTTGTTTTGTTTGAGGGAGGATGAGAGAGGGCCGTAATAGTTAAACCTAAAAATAAGATTTACTTGGAGAACTGGCTGGGTGCAGTGGCTCATGCCTGTAATCCCTGCATTTTGATTAGACGCCAAGGCCGGCGGATCACCTGAGGTCAGGAGTTTGAGACCAGCCTGGCCAACATGATGAGACTCCCATCTACCAAAAATACAAAAAATTAGCCAGGCATGGTGGTGGGTGCCTGTAAACCTAGCTACTGTAGAGGCTGAGGCAGGAGAATGACTTGAACCCGGGAGGCTCAGGTTGCAGTGAGAGGAGATGGAGCCACTGCACTCAGTCTGGGCAACAGGAACAAAACTCCTTCTCAAAAAAAAAAAAAAAAAAAAAGATTTACATGGAGATCTGAAAGAGGTAAAATTCCTAGGGAATATAATTTGTGGTTGAATAGGTAACTTTAGAAAGGTGTGTGTATGTGTATATACATGTGTAAATACAGATACACCTATATATCTGTGTATATTTTTTAGCCTTATTTAACCTTGCAACCACTAATTATTGCTGGACTTGATAACATATTGTAGGGGCAGAAAGGATATGATGTCTTTCTTCCTCATCATAAGGATGACAGCTGACCCTCCTATCACAAAAGACAGGTTAATGAGAGAAAAGCATAACACATTTATTTAATCAAAGTTTCATGTGTCATGAGAGCCTTCAGAAATGAAGCCCAAACTCCCAAGGGAAAACCTTCCATTTTTATGCTTAGATTCAATGATGAGTGAACAGCCATGTAAGAATATAATTGAACAAAAAAGGAAATGATCTAACAGCCGTAGACGGTGTGGGAAAATCCAGTAAGACCTGTCTGAATTGTTCTTGGCCTGTCTGTGGTATTCCTTCCTCCTGGATTTAGGGAAAGACTCCTTCCAGAATACGGTTCTTATCTTCTACTTTGAGACAAGTTAGGTCATACAAATTTTTTATGAGCAAGTTTTACACAAAAAAGCAGAGGAAAGTTGTGGTAATAATTCTAGGTTTTAAGGCTTGTTTTGGGGAAAAGGAGTTCTAGTTTTCTGTGACTCACTTGGAAAAGGAATTCTGGTTTCTATGACTCACTCCAGGGAAGAACGAGGGACAAGAGACAGGAGGGCAGGAGAAGGTCAGAGATAGGTTAGTCCTGATGCTGCTTCTGAGGACTTCCAATATGCTTTAGTTTTAAGTACTTGGCATGTCAAGTACCATACTTTGGGGTATCTTTTCCTGAGCCCCCGCAAAATCAAATGTGAACTAGAAGCTTCCTAGTGTCTTCTTCTTAGTGAATCCTAATAAGGACGTTTCTACTGGCATATTGATATGATTTTTGGTTGCTATCCATTAAAATTATTTCTCCAAACCAGGAACAGTTGCTCACACTGTAATACACATTGGAAGGCCGAGATGGGCGGATCACTTGAGTCCAAAAGTTAGAAACCAGCCTAAGCAACGTGCAGACTGGGGGACAGAGCAAGACTCTGTTCAAAAACACAGATATTTCTCCAAAAATGAGCAATTAAAGAATTTTGCATGTTTGCAAAGTTTAAAAGCCTAATATAAATGCAAAATCTGTGTAATAGAACTGTTGCTTTGGAATTATAATTTCTCAGCACTTTCTTGTATTATCTTTAATATTCCTCAAATGCATTTTAAAAGCAATAAACAACTGACATATCCCCTCAAATGCTAACATATTTATGCTTCCAGTATGTATTGTCTAGAAATCTGAGAGACTGTGTGAGTCCGATGAGTTGGGCTGTATCCCATTCTGGAATGTCAATGTTCATATTGCTATGAAAAACTTGTTGAAATAATAAAATTAGCTTTCAGATTTCCACAATTTGGAATCCAAAAGTTACTTTTATCATCTTCAATGAAAGAAATTGCACCAATGATATTTTAGTCTTGATGATGTTGGGAGCCCCTGTATAAATATAGCACTTGCACAATTAAAATGGAGGTTTTATTTTTATTATTATTTATTTATTTGAGACAGAGTCTTGCTCTTGTTGCCCAGGCTAGAGAGCAATGACACCATCTTGGCTCACTGCAACCTCTACCTCCTGGGTTCAAGGGATTCTCTTGTCTCAGCCTCCCCAGTAGCTGAGATTACAGGCATGTGCCACCATGCCCGGCTAATTTTTATGTTTTCAGCGGAGGCCGGATTTCGCCATGTTGACCAGGCTGGTCTCTAATTCCTGACCTCAAGTGATCTGCCTGCCTTGGCCTCCCAAAGTGCTAGGATTATAGGCGTGAGCCACCACATCCAGCTGGAGGTTTTATTTTTAAAGCTGTTAGAATAATTTGCTTTTAATCAGAGGCCTCTCACAAAGTTGTCCAAAATGTTATTCCGAAACCTTTTTTTAAGCATCAAAATCCAGTGCTTTAGGCCATGCATGGTGGCTCACACCTGTAATCCCAGCACTTTGGGAGGCCAAGGTGGGTGGGTGAATTACAAGGTCAGGAGACCAAGACCATCATAGCCAACATGGTGAAACCCCATCTCTACCCAAAATTAGATGGGCGTGGTGGCACACACCTGTAGTCCCAGTTACTTGGGAGGCCGAGGCAGGAGAATTGCTTGAACCCAGGAGGCAGAGGTTTTAGTGAGCCGAGATCTCGTCACTGCACTCCAGCCTGTGACAGAGCTAAACTCCATCTCAAAACAGAAAGAAAGAAAGAAAGAAGGAAAAACTCCAGTGCATAAGTAGAAGGTTCTGAGAATCCAGATCTGCTAAGAGTGTCTGCCACATATGAAGCAAAGCACCTAGGGACCTGAGCGGGAAAATAATGCTGAAGGGACCAAAGTCTCCACTATCACTGACAGAAGAAACCTGGTGGAGAACAAAACATGCTTGTCCTCCAATTCTACAGAGTCCATCTATCTTTTTTTTTTTTCTTTTTGCTCTTAAAGAAAAATAGACATATATAGTATATCTAAAGCCAGTAGTTACAAAGCAAGCTTTTGGTATTATGGAGTATCAATGCAGCCTGTTTGAGGAATGGTGAAAAGATAAACGCTCCTGTACCATCCTCCCAGCCGTTGCTGGTTGCAGTAGATGAGGCTGTGTCTCCCCACAGCCCTGTGCTCACAGCTCACTCTCCTCCTCCAGTCTATTCTTGGCTGTGGATTCCCCTGTGCTCTTTGTGCACTTTAAGTTTAATTTTGCATTTAAAAACTCAATTGACTCATCTGTTAAGCATTAAGCAGCTCCCTTTTGAGCCACAGGGGGAGCCCTGGGAAAACCCACAGCTGCTGGAACATGGAAAATGGGTTTAAAAAAATAAAACCATTTTGAAACTTTAAAGCATTTTAGCAGCCGTGGATTTCCCAATCCTTACCCCCCAAATGGTTCATCTGTTTAACTTTTATCTGGTATTGGAAAATGCAAACCAGAGCATTAAATAGCCCTCAAATGACTTTTTGTTTAATACAAAATGAAAGTAAAAGCTAAGTAAGCCATGTGGGAAGATCTTTGAGAGAGCTATGGCCTGGAATACCTGCAAGCATACTCTCCAGTTATAGAAACAATTCTGAAATCTAGTCATGCTTGCTAGCAGCACATTTTTTTCCCCTCTTCACTTAGTCACTTCCCTTCCCCCTAAAACAAGGGAGAAAACCAGTCCAAACAAGTTTAAATCCCAGTTTATAAAATGACAACGATAACAACGAAAAAGTTAACAGGCTGGGAATGTTAATGAAATGCTCACTCAAAGTTTAAGTATCAAAATAATTTGTCATTGACTAAAAACTCATTTTTTATTACAGTTAGATAGGCTCTAGAAAACTTAAATTATTCTTT